GAGGAGCCTCGAGAAGGCAGATGGCGTTCGGCGCACTCGCCAACACGCACGCCGCCTGTCATCATCATTTTCTTTCCCCTGTCTGTTTGTTTGCTTCCCCTCGATCGCTGTGCATCGGACATGGACTTCTGTAGCGAGTGCGGGCCGGCCCCTCAACACACGCATACCTGTGCCGGCATGCATTCCGTCGCACGCAGCGGGGGATGCACCCGCAAAGGCGTCCTTTGCCGTGGCGACACACATCAGTAAAGAAACGAAAATACGGTAGACTACATTTTTAAAGCTTCTGTTTTCTTGTTTGCTCTGCTCCACACCATTGGTAAAGAACACGCTCCCAACGTGCACATCGGTGTGGAAACGCGGAGCTGCGCGCTGTGCTGCCCCACGCACATACACACATACCTGGGGCCTCCGATCGGGTCTGCCTGCACGGGAAGGAGCGCAGGAGGCCCGCCAGCAGCGCCGCGCTCATCAAAAGCTAATCCCCCCTCCTGATCCCCAAAACGCTTGTTTCGATATATATTAATACCTCGTTAAATGTATCTTGTAATCTTCTTGTTTAAAGCCTACCTGTAGGAGTACTGATTGTTTGAGGTGTGTGAAATGCGTGTCCCTGCAGGCGCTCGCACGTATCTTGATGCGCGCGTGTGTCCCTGCCTGTTCACAGCCGTTGCCGGCCCCACCGCCGCACCTCGCTGCGTTTTCTGTCCCATTTCTTTCCTGTGCGGTGGGGCCCGCGAGACCAAAGACGCTCAACACTAAAATCTATTTTTTGTCTTCCGTTTCCTGTGTGTTAAAGTTTCAATGTTTACGCTTTCGCCGGCCTTATATTTATGGTTGCCCGTTGTTCCCTCCCGGAAAGCTCGTTGTGCGCACGCCGCGTTGGGCGTGACAACGTGCTGGGCCTCTTCTAATCGATTCCACTCCTTTTGATGTGCTCTCGCCATCCGCTGTTGTGCTTTGCGCTCTCGTGCACGGCGGTGTTGGCGCACGAGGGTGGCCACGAAGCACGTGGGAAGCGACAACGGCACGCACGATGGAGCGTCTTCGCTTTCCTCTGAGGGCCGTCGGTGCCTGTTGGCTGTCGTTCTGCCGTTCTGCCTCCTCCGCCCTTTCCGCGCTTTCATGCGCTGACCGGCCTCGTCGGTGCTGCACACACACACACACACACACACACGCAGAAATGGCCCTGCGTCTCTTCACCCTCCTCCCTCGTCCCTCGCCCCCTGCGCTTCTCTCTTGTCCCCTTCTCCGCGTCGCCGCCGCCAACCACCTGCGCCAACGCACCGCTGCCGCCCTGCTCAGAATCGTAACTAATAGCAACCCTCGCTGACTCGCTGACGTACTCCCAACGAGCACCCCCTCGCTCTCTCCTTTCCTCTCCACACCTCTAACGGCAAAAGTCGCACCAATGATCGCTGCCTCGGTGCGTCGCGGCGTGATCTGGCTCCTCGTGGCGGTGGCCATGATGGCCGGCCTCGCCTTGGCCCTGGACGGTGTGCCGTACGAGCCCATCTTCCACATCCGCCCGCCGAAGAACTGGATCAACGACCCGAACGGCCCCTACCGCGACCCGGTGACGGGTAAGATCCACCTGTACATGCAGTACAACCCCAACGGCCCTCTCTGGGGCGACATCGCGTGGTACCACGTCACGTCGGACGACTACGTCAAGTGGACACGCCCCGAGTCGCCGGTGGCGATGTGGGCGGACAAGTGGTACGACAAGTGGGGCGTGTACTCGGGCACGATGATCAACAACAACCACAGCGAGCCCATCGCGGTGTACACGTGCACGGAGCCGGAGAACATCCAGCGCCAGTGCCTCGCCAGCCCGACCAAGGCGGATCTCGTGGGCAAGCGCACGCTGGACCGGCTGGTCAAGAGTGCGCGCAACGTCATCCTGTCGGAGGACGACGTGCCCGGCGTCGTCGGGCTCGGCAACTTCCGCGACCCCACGGAGTGGTGGGAGGACCCGGAGCACCCGGGCCAGTGGCTGATTGCCTTCGTTGCCCGCATCAACGACGCCGAGGGCGACAACGCGCACGTGGTCATCTTCCGCACGCAGGACCCCACCTTCCAGTCCGGCTACAAGTTCTCGCACAGCCTCTACGTGTACAAGTACGACCTGGATGTGATGTTCGAGTGCCCGGACTTCTTCAAGCTGGCGCCGACGGGCGAGCACTACCTGAAGGTGTCCACCATGCCCTCGCACCGCGACTACATCATGTACGGCTCCTACCAGCTGGACAGTAAGCTCGGCCAGTACGTCTTCGTCGAGGATCCCGCACGCAGCTTCACCTTCATCGACTACGGTCCCCTCTACGCCTCGAAGACGTTCCACGACCCCATCCTGAACCGCCGCACCATCTGGGGCTGGACCAACGATGAGCTGAGCGACGACCAGATCCGTGCCAACGGGTGGTCGGGCGTGCAGAACATGCTGCGCACGGTGGAGTACGACAGCACGGAGAAGAAGCTGAAGACGCAGCCCGTGCCGGAGATCAAGGGACTGCGGCTGAACAAGCTGGTGGATGTGGAGGGTGTGCCCGTGACGAGCACGCCGACGCAGATCATCCGCAGCAACACGAACAACACCCTCTACCACGAGATCGTCGCGAAGTTCACCGTGTCCGACCCGTCCATCTTCTCGGCGACGGCGACGTACGCCGCGGACGGGTCAGACGCCCCCGAGATCGGCGTGATGATTCGCGCCAACGCCGACCTCACGCAGAGCGCCAGCGTGTCGCTCAAGATGCCCCCGTACGGCCCGAGCGTGGTGCCGGGCAACCAGCAGAAGGAGGACTGGCCGGCGATCAAGATCTTCGACGGCCCCGACGCGGCGAACTGCAGCGCCGAGTGCAACAAGCTGCGCCTCTGCGAGTCCTACACCTACTTCTCCAGCACGAAGAGCTGCAAGATGTACTGGAAGATCAACCCGATGGAGGCCAGCGCAGACGCCGCCAGCGGTCTCGTGCGGGAGCCGCTGCTGTACCTGAGCCGCGAGGCCTCCAAGTCGATCGGCTCCACCGGTCCGCTGAGCGGCCGCGCGCCGTTCGCCACCGCCACGCCCAACGGCTTCGAGCTGCACATCTACGTGGACAACAGCGTGATCGAGATCTTCAAGGATGGCGGGCTGGAGACGATGACGAGCCGCCTCTACATCGACAACGGCGACGACACGACGGGCGTGGCCGTGTACGCGAAGAACACCGGCGCGGCGACGGTGACCGCCAGCGTGGAGGTGTACACGATGGACACGATCTGGAAGGCGCCGGTGGCGAATGCGGCGAAGAACTTCACCAACTCGCTGTACAACCTGCTGGACACCCTCATCGACGTCTAGGGGCCCCGGTGGAGCGAGCCGTGCCGTCCGTCAAAAGAATCGGTGGTGTTCGGTCTAACGCAGCGTAACTGAAGGTGCGGCCAAAGCGGGGAGCTCTGTGAGCGAGGAGTGGCGCTGCCTGCGTGGCACGATGCGCCTCGACGCATGAGCGCCCTGCAGTCCATCGTCCGTCTGCGCCGCAGTCTCAGCGTCGTTCTCTTTTATTGTTCCTCTCTTCTCGCGTACGAGCGACAGGTGCGCGTCTGCGGCAGGGCGAGGGGTGCAACGCGTTGCCACCCTTCTCTCCCCCTCCCCACCTCCCGCTGGAGCTCATCAAGCAGTGCTTAATGAGTGCGCGGTCACACTCGCAGCGAGGAGCCTCGAGAAGGCAGATGGCGTTCGGCGCACTCGCCAACACGCACGCCGCCTGTCATCATCATTTTCTTTCCCCTGTCTGTTTGTTTGCTTCCCCTCGATCGCTGTGCATCGGACATGGACTTCTGTAGCGAGTGCGGGCCGGCCCCTCAACACACGCATACCTGTGCCGGCATGCATTCCGTCGCACGCAGCGGGGGATGCACCCGCAAAGGCGTCCTTTGCCGTGGCGACACACATCAGTAAAGAAACGAAAATACGGTAGACTACATTTTTAAAGCTTCTGTTTTCTTGTTTGCTCTGCTCCACACCATTGGTAAAGAACACGCTCCCAACGTGCACATCGGTGTGGAAACGCGGAGCTGCGCGCTGTGCTGCCCCACGCACATACACACATACCTGGGGCCTCCGATCGGGTCTGCCTGCACGGGAAGGAGCGCAGGAGGCCCGCCAGCAGCGCCGCGCTCATCAAAAGCTAATCCCCCCTCCTGATCCCCAAAACGCTTGTTTCGATATATATTAATACCTCGTTAAATGTATCTTGTAATCTTCTTGTTTAAAGCCTACCTGTAGGAGTACTGATTGTTTGAGGTGTGTGAAATGCGTGTCCCTGCAGGCGCTCGCACGTATCTTGATGCGCGCGTGTGTCCCTGCCTGTTCACAGCCGTTGCCGGCCCCACCGCCGCACCTCGCTGCGTTTTCTGTCCCATTTCTTTCCTGTGCGGTGGGGCCCGCGAGACCAAAGACGCTCAACACTAAAATCTATTTTTTGTCTTCCGTTTCCTGTGTGTTAAAGTTTCAATGTTTACGCTTTCGCCGGCCTTATATTTATGGTTGCCCGTTGTTCCCTCCCGGAAAGCTCGTTGTGCGCACGCCGCGTTGGGCGTGACAACGTGCTGGGCCTCTTCTAATCGATTCCACTCCTTTTGATGTGCTCTCGCCATCCGCTGTTGTGCTTTGCGCTCTCGTGCACGGCGGTGTTGGCGCACGAGGGTGGCCACGAAGCACGTGGGAAGCGACAACGGCACGCACGATGGAGCGTCTTCGCTTTCCTCTGAGGGCCGTCGGTGCCTGTTGGCTGTCGTTCTGCCGTTCTGCCTCCTCCGCCCTTTCCGCGCTTTCATGCGCTGACCGGCCTCGTCGGTGCTGCACACACACACACACACACACACACGCAGAAATGGCCCTGCGTCTCTTCACCCTCCTCCCTCGTCCCTCGCCCCCTGCGCTTCTCTCTTGTCCCCTTCTCCGCGTCGCCGCCGCCAACCACCTGCGCCAACGCACCGCTGCCGCCCTGCTCAGAATCGTAACTAATAGCAACCCTCGCTGACTCGCTGACGTACTCCCAACGAGCACCCCCTCGCTCTCTCCTTTCCTCTCCACACCTCTAACGGCAAAAGTCGCACCAATGATCGCTGCCTCGGTGCGTCGCGGCGTGATCTGGCTCCTCGTGGCGGTGGCCATGATGGCCGGCCTCGCCTTGGCCCTGGACGGTGTGCCGTACGAGCCCATCTTCCACATCCGCCCGCCGAAGAACTGGATCAACGACCCGAACGGCCCCTACCGCGACCCGGTGACGGGTAAGATCCACCTGTACATGCAGTACAACCCCAACGGCCCTCTCTGGGGCGACATCGCGTGGTACCACGTCACGTCGGACGACTACGTCAAGTGGACACGCCCCGAGTCGCCGGTGGCGATGTGGGCGGACAAGTGGTACGACAAGTGGGGCGTGTACTCGGGCACGATGATCAACAACAACCACAGCGAGCCCATCGCGGTGTACACGTGCACGGAGCCGGAGAACATCCAGCGCCAGTGCCTCGCCAGCCCGACCAAGGCGGATCTCGTGGGCAAGCGCACGCTGGACCGGCTGGTCAAGAGTGCGCGCAACGTCATCCTGTCGGAGGACGACGTGCCCGGCGTCGTCGGGCTCGGCAACTTCCGCGACCCCACGGAGTGGTGGGAGGACCCGGAGCACCCGGGCCAGTGGCTGATTGCCTTCGTTGCCCGCATCAACGACGCCGAGGGCGACAACGCGCACGTGGTCATCTTCCGCACGCAGGACCCCACCTTCCAGTCCGGCTACAAGTTCTCGCACAGCCTCTACGTGTACAAGTACGACCTGGATGTGATGTTCGAGTGCCCGGACTTCTTCAAGCTGGCGCCGACGGGCGAGCACTACCTGAAGGTGTCCACCATGCCCTCGCACCGCGACTACATCATGTACGGCTCCTACCAGCTGGACAGTAAGCTCGGCCAGTACGTCTTCGTCGAGGATCCCGCACGCAGCTTCACCTTCATCGACTACGGTCCCCTCTACGCCTCGAAGACGTTCCACGACCCCATCCTGAACCGCCGCACCATCTGGGGCTGGACCAACGATGAGCTGAGCGACGACCAGATCCGTGCCAACGGGTGGTCGGGCGTGCAGAACATGCTGCGCACGGTGGAGTACGACAGCACGGAGAAGAAGCTGAAGACGCAGCCCGTGCCGGAGATCAAGGGACTGCGGCTGAACAAGCTGGTGGATGTGGAGGGTGTGCCCGTGACGAGCACGCCGACGCAGATCATCCGCAGCAACACGAACAACACCCTCTACCACGAGATCGTCGCGAAGTTCACCGTGTCCGACCCGTCCATCTTCTCGGCGACGGCGACGTACGCCGCGGACGGGTCAGACGCCCCCGAGATCGGCGTGATGATTCGCGCCAACGCCGACCTCACGCAGAGCGCCAGCGTGTCGCTCAAGATGCCCCCGTACGGCCCGAGCGTGGTGCCGGGCAACCAGCAGAAGGAGGACTGGCCGGCGATCAAGATCTTCGACGGCCCCGACGCGGCGAACTGCAGCGCCGAGTGCAACAAGCTGCGCCTCTGCGAGTCCTACACCTACTTCTCCAGCACGAAGAGCTGCAAGATGTACTGGAAGATCAACCCGATGGAGGCCAGCGCAGACGCCGCCAGCGGTCTCGTGCGGGAGCCGCTGCTGTACCTGAGCCGCGAGGCCTCCAAGTCGATCGGCTCCACCGGTCCGCTGAGCGGCCGCGCGCCGTTCGCCACCGCCACGCCCAACGGCTTCGAGCTGCACATCTACGTGGACAACAGCGTGATCGAGATCTTCAAGGATGGCGGGCTGGAGACGATGACGAGCCGCCTCTACATCGACAACGGCGACGACACGACGGGCGTGGCCGTGTACGCGAAGAACACCGGCGCGGCGACGGTGACCGCCAGCGTGGAGGTGTACACGATGGACACGATCTGGAAGGCGCCGGTGGCGAATGCGGCGAAGAACTTCACCAACTCGCTGTACAACCTGCTGGACACCCTCATCGACGTCTAGGGGCCCCGGTGGAGCGAGCCGTGCCGTCCGTCAAAAGAATCGGTGGTGTTCGGTCTAACGCAGCGTAACTGAAGGTGCGGCCAAAGCGGGGAGCTCTGTGAGCGAGGAGTGGCGCTGCCTGCGTGGCACGATGCGCCTCGACGCATGAGCGCCCTGCAGTCCATCGTCCGTCTGCGCCGCAGTCTCAGCGTCGTTCTCTTTTATTGTTCCTCTCTTCTCGCGTACGAGCGACAGGTGCGCGTCTGCGGCAGGGCGAGGGGTGCAACGCGTTGCCACCCTTCTCTCCCCCTCCCCACCTCCCGCTGGAGCTCATCAAGCAGTGCTTAATGAGTGCGCGGTCACACTCGCAGCGAGGAGCCTCGAGAAGGCAGATGGCGTTCGGCGCACTCGCCAACACGCACGCCGCCTGTCATCATCATTTTCTTTCCCCTGTCTGTTTGTTTGCTTCCCCTCGATCGCTGTGCATCGGACATGGACTTCTGTAGCGAGTGCGGGCCGGCCCCTCAACACACGCATACCTGTGCCGGCATGCATTCCGTCGCACGCAGCGGGGGATGCACCCGCAAAGGCGTCCTTTGCCGTGGCGACACACATCAGTAAAGAAACGAAAATACGGTAGACTACATTTTTAAAGCTTCTGTTTTCTTGTTTGCTCTGCTCCACACCATTGGTAAAGAACACGCTCCCAACGTGCACATCGGTGTGGAAACGCGGAGCTGCGCGCTGTGCTGCCCCACGCACATACACACATACCTGGGGCCTCCGATCGGGTCTGCCTGCACGGGAAGGAGCGCAGGAGGCCCGCCAGCAGCGCCGCGCTCATCAAAAGCTAATCCCCCCTCCTGATCCCCAAAACGCTTGTTTCGATATATATTAATACCTCGTTAAATGTATCTTGTAATCTTCTTGTTTAAAGCCTACCTGTAGGAGTACTGATTGTTTGAGGTGTGTGAAATGCGTGTCCCTGCAGGCGCTCGCACGTATCTTGATGCGCGCGTGTGTCCCTGCCTGTTCACAGCCGTTGCCGGCCCCACCGCCGCACCTCGCTGCGTTTTCTGTCCCATTTCTTTCCTGTGCGGTGGGGCCCGCGAGACCAAAGACGCTCAACACTAAAATCTATTTTTTGTCTTCCGTTTCCTGTGTGTTAAAGTTTCAATGTTTACGCTTTCGCCGGCCTTATATTTATGGTTGCCCGTTGTTCCCTCCCGGAAAGCTCGTTGTGCGCACGCCGCGTTGGGCGTGACAACGTGCTGGGCCTCTTCTAATCGATTCCACTCCTTTTGATGTGCTCTCGCCATCCGCTGTTGTGCTTTGCGCTCTCGTGCACGGCGGTGTTGGCGCACGAGGGTGGCCACGAAGCACGTGGGAAGCGACAACGGCACGCACGATGGAGCGTCTTACAGAGCTGCTTCGACGGTCTCTGAGGGCGGTGGATTCGCTGTCGCGCTTCGCGGACGTTGCGTTGGTCGGCAGTCCAGTTTTACCTCTGCGTGTCGGCGAGTGTGTGTGCTCCTTTCTGCAGCTGTGTGGGATGCACGGAAACACCAAATGGGTCTCGTCGGAGTTCAACGCGGGAACCGAAGAGGAAAAAAACGAACGTTATTATTAATAATCCTTCTTTCTTCTTCTTGTGTTTTGTTTTACGTACACCGCACTTGGAAAATCGCCATTACGAGCGTAAGTGGCAGTGGAAAAGAATACTACTGAAAGCGAATCGTGAGATTGGTGGTGTTGGTGAGACGAGTCCACAGCGAGCTCTGGGGCTCCACGGCGTGATCCTCACAAGACACGTGGGGGTTGGTATACGTGTGTGTGTGTGGGTGTGTGGGTGTCTTACGTTGTCTTGAGACGTATTTAACGGACAACGAAGATTGGATGGCCGATGCTGCATGGAGCGTTTTTGCTGAGGTCCGTAGGCTGGGTATTTGTCGGGGCAGGCGTCGCGTCGCCAACTTCATGGCGTTGTGCTCCTCGTACCCTTTTTCGGCCCCTCTCTTGGAGGTGCGCGGTGCATCTCCCGTGTCGTGACTCTGCCCTTCTCCACCGGTGATCTTTCTCTTCCTTGCTGCTTTGTCGGTGTTGGGTTGTCTTTCCGTTTTCAGAGAGCATTTGCTCCTCTCTCTCTCCCTCTCTTTCTCTCTGTCCCACTTCACCGTTCATACATCGCAAAGAGTACTTGCAGCAGAAGCGGCGAAGTACTGTTGGTCAGTATTATTAATCATAAACTTCACATTTTTTTTGCTGGTCGGTAACCCTTCGTGCCTCTTAATGCGGTCCTTTTCTCTCAGCATGAGGCGCATTTGCCTGCTTCCGTCTTTCCATTGTCGACCTTCCCGCATCCCCCATCAGACGAGTATCCGCGCCGGGTCTACAAAGGCGGCTAGCTCAGAAAGCCGTACCGCCTCTGCTTCTTCTCCTCCGCCTTCCTCCCCGGTCCGCGCCATTCAAGCCGCCTCGCACTTCACCGGCAACTACCTCGACACAGCGTGGACGCGGCAGTTCATTCTCGGTTCTCTGCTGCAGCGCTTTGACCCTCTCCCCCGCTCGACCACCCAAAAAACAGCGTTGTCCGCTGCCGCGAATGCGCGTGCGGTGGAGGCGGCGTTGCTGGACTGCCAGCGCGTCTTCAGCTCCATCTGGAAGCTCCCCGTGCGTCCTCTTGACCAACTCAGCGAGGCTCGCATTCTCCGCCTCTTAGCCCGCTACGCCGCTGGGGAAGGCGTCTTGTCCGATGAAGCCCTTGAAGCCTTCCAGGACGTTCTTCGACGCCTCCCTGGTGCCCCGGCCAACGTGACGGACCCGGTGCAGATGCGCACGCTGTTGGAACTGATTCGCTACGTGGAGCCGGGGGACAACTTGAATCGAGTGGCGTACGCGGGGGAGCTGGCGTACCCCCCGCAGGCGCACGCCTTCATGATGGAGTTACTGGAGGAGGCCCGGCAGGTCGACGGCGGAGACGCCTTTGACGGGCTGCGCGAGCGCCGCGCCGGTCCGGGCTACGCCATCGACTCCGCCACGACGAGTGAGGTGGACGACGCGATTGGGGTGTGTGTGGAGGCGAAGACCGGGGAGAGGTACTTCGTGGTGTACGTCTCGGACGCCACCGTGTACTGCCCGTTTGACAGCTCGCTGGAGCAGGTAACGGCACGGCGGCTGACCACGACGACCTATCTGCCGGAGGGGGTGTACTTTATGCTGCCGAAGCCCATTGTAGAGGCGGCGACGCTGCGGGAGGACCGCCCCTGCCGCACCTTCAACGTTATCTTCCAGATTGACGAGCGCACGGGGGAGGTGAAGAACTACGCCGTGGCGGTGGGCTGGTTGGAGCAGCTGCGCCGCATCACCTACGATCAGGTGCAGGAAATAATCGACAAGGAGGAGAAGACGAAAGACGGCGGCGACGCAGCGCGGAGCGAATCGCAGCTGCGGACCACCGCCACCGACCCCGCGGCGTCCGCCCCGCTCCAGCACCCCGCACCGGCGTGGATGACGCCGGCGGATAAGGCGAACCTTTTCTACATCCTGCACTGTGCGAGAATTCGACTGCGAGCGCGGCTGGATCGGCAGCGCGCGGCAGCGGCGGCAGCGGTGATGGGCGGACCAAAAGATGAGCAGCAAAAATGGAAAGGCGGAGAAGACGAAGACGAAGACGAAGACGGTGCGATGGCACCGCCGACGGACTTCAGTCTGCCCGACCCTCTCATCAAGGTTAAGGGAACGCAGGTGCTCTCGGTGACCGACCAGGTCGTCTCCACCCAAGATGCGCGGCTCGCCGTGGCGGAGTTGATGATTGCGGCAAATGAGGTCTGCTCCCGTGTGGCACAAGCGAATCACCTCGCCCTGCCCTTCCGCGGCACCCGCGCCCTCTCCGTCGACCACCTCGTCGCCCACTACTACTCTGAGCCGCAGGGGGTCTGCACGCCGGCCTCGCTCGACACCTCGCACGTCTTCCTCGCAGAGGCGATGCAGTCGTCGGTGCGCCGGCTGAGCACCGTGACGCGCGCGATTTACCATCACACCCCGCTGCACCACGCCGGGCTGGACACGGCGTTTTACACCCACAGCACGAGTCCGCTGCGTCGCTACGCGGACATGTTGGTGCATCATCAGCTGAAGACGTGGCTGTGGCAGCAGTACCGCGGCCGGGCCGCCTCGGTGTCCTATTCGTCTTTTATTCGAGGCGCGCCTCAGCAGTTTATTCCAGAGCACGCGATGGCCACCCTGTGTGCCATGATCAGCACCAAGCAGGAACGTGCCAGTCTGCTGCAGGACAGCAGCACGCGATTTTGGATTCTCCGCTACCTCGAAGACCTCGAGCGGACCTCCAACATCGACGTCGCTGGAGCGAGCGCGGCGGCGACCGGAAGGAGGAGGAGGAAGACGTATTTGTGTCTCGTGGGTGCGTCACGGCGAGTGGTGGGAGCTCCCACGTACAGCCGCTTTGCCTGTTCCTCGCAGGACACGTCCAGCCTACTCTCCCAGTCCTTTACGCGTCACAACAGCAGCTGCGCGACACAGCATCCACTTCGTCCGGCGACGGTGCTGCTCGATGAGCCGCGTTGGCGCCAGCGCGAGGCGGAGTTTACGTACGTATCGGACATCTACCTCCCCGAAGTGCAGCTTGTCCACACCATCACCCACCACCGCGACGACATCCGTGTCGGCGCCGTCGTGGAGTGCGAAGTGGCACGGGTGCAGCCGACGCAGGGGGTTTTAGAGCTGAACATCCTCCGGGTCCTTTCCGGCGGCGACGAACGTCATTACGAGCGCTTGTGGATGGGCGCGTTGGTCTCCCAACTGGATGCGTAAGGCGGAAATGGGGGAGGAGAAGGGAGGCGGAAGGAGCCGGGCAGAACGTGCTCCCCCTCCCCTCTCTCTCAGCTCTCTACTAAGGAAACGGTGCGGGTAACGATTGAGGTAGGGAACACATCGTTGTGATGGTCTCCCCCTCTCTTCACATGGCCTAGCGACTTCGGTTTGACAGTTTATGCACGACGGAAATATCTACATACATATATAGAGAGAAAGAGAAGCTACAGCGTTGCTGCGTCCAGCAAATCCAAGGCGTGTATCTTTATCGGTATCGCTACGCTGAGCTCTGCTCTCTCTCTCTCTCCCTCCCTGCCGCGGATCATGCTCCAGGTTTTACCCCCAGTCCGCAGCACCCCGATAACCTGCTGTTTATCCCCCAGAAAAGCCTGGATCTGTTCTCGCTCCCTCGTCTCTCCAACACACACACACACACACTCCTTTTATCATAATCGCTTCTATCGTGTGTGCTATTACTTTTGTTGTTGATGCTCTCCATTTACATATATATATATATATATAAGGAAAAAGCGTAGCGCCTTCTCGCCGTGCACCTGCGCAGCGGATGGGGTCCCTCTTCTCCAGCCTGTTCGGCATGTTTCGCGCCAACAGGTCGTATAAACTGCTCATCCTCGGCCTGAACAACGCCGGCAAGACCTCCATCCTGTACCACCTACAGCTAGGACACGCCATCACCACCCAGCCCACGCTGGGCGGCAACACCGAGACGCTGACCATCACGCACCCGCACACGAATAACACCATCACCCTCACCTGTTGGGACTTGGGGGGGCAGGAGCAGCTGCGAGCCTCGTGGAAGCTGTACTACGACCACACCGACGCCGTCCTCTTTGTGGTGGACGCGGCCGACACGGCACGCTTCGCCACGGCAAAAGAGGTGCTGCACCAGCTCCTGCACAGTGAGCCGTCTCTGCAGCACTCGGTGCTCTTGGTGCTGGCGAATAAGCAAGATGTGGAGTCGGCTGCCTCTCCCGCGGAGTTGATGGAGTACTTGGAGCTCGGAAAGCTGAAGAATCGGACGTGGACGCTGATGGGCTGCAGTGCGTCTACAGGGGAGTCACTGCGGGAGGCGATGAACTGGATTGCGGAGAACGTTGTCTGAGGCGACGTGTCACACATGTGATTTGCGCCGCTTCGCTGCGCTTCCCCCATCCATTCGCGTACGACTGCCGCGGTGGGTGAATGCTGTTGGGGTTGCGATGTTTTTGTTTTCTCTGCTGATCACTCTCTTTACCGCTCTCTTCTTCTTTTGGACCGGCGTCGTGTCGTGGGTGTGTTAATCTGTTGTCTTTTTTTTCCCAATTCCATTTGCTGTAAATTTAGTGGTGCCGTGTGGTTTGCTTTGTTTCCCCGTCTGCGCCACTTTCTGTGTGTGTGAGGGCGAGTAATCGTATGTGCTGTGTCGAGGCTCATTCGTGGATTTACACCCAGCGTTGTTCACAGTGAAATCTGATTGGGCTTTTCCGGACATGCGCCTCTCTTCCTTTTGCGTTATTCCATCTAAGGTTGAAGTGAAGTGCACTTAGAAGTGCTCTCTTAGCTCTTTATCACGTCCGCTGCGTTTATCGTTGGCGTCATCACTGACGCTCTCCTTCTTCGATTTGCTCTTGGGTTGGTTGGTGGTGCTTGGTACGCACCCCTGCACAGCAAACACGCCGTCACGCAAATGGCTCCCTGCGGTGGTCCTCGTCTGATTGACCCAACCTCCAACCCCACCGTCTTCCTCATCTCTTCCCTTCTCTCTGTCTCTCTCTGTCTCTCTGTGTGTGCCATTTTACCAAAGCTGCGCCTATAAACGACACAGGTGGCTCTGATCCTGGATGTAGTACCTCGTGCACACTTCTAGTTTCTTTTTTCTTCATAGTCTTCTTCTTCTTGTCGTTGCACAAGAACCGTCAGCGAGCTGTGCTCCCTTTATTCACATCCTGGATTTTCTCTTTTCTTCTGTATATTTCTCTCTCTTCCTTCTGTTCTCTCTGTCTCTCCTTACCGGCTGCGTGTGTGTGTGTGCGTGTGTGGCTCTCAAAACGATTCGAAACGACTTGCAAAATCCATATTTATTTGTTTATTTATACAGTGCTCCTTTCACGCTCAAACGAGACTTTTTACGCTGCATGTAAGTTGCGGTTGCTGTTTTTGTTTGGCGGAGTGGCACGTTTCTTTTTCTTGTCCCTCTCTCTTTCCTCTCTCTCTCTCTCTCGTACGTCCGCTGTGGTTTCAAAGGCTTCCTTCTTCTGTCTGAGTGGCGGTGTGTGTGTTTGTTTGTTTGTTGTTTACTTTACTCAAAAGGTGGTCGACGCGTTGTCCTTCTCTCTTTAAAAAAAGGAAGAAGAATAAGAATAATAACTGAGTTCTCTTCTTTCTCTCTTTGTCTCTTCTTTTCACGGCAACAAGTTTTAAAAAAAAAAAGGAAGCTTATACACACCAAAATCTGTTCTTCTTGACTCTGTTTTTTTTTGTTTGTTTTGTTTTCTTCTCCTTCGTGTTTATTCTCTCCTTCTTTGCGGCCGCCTTGAATCTCCGACGCGCATTCTCTCCCTTTTTCTTTTGTTTTCTGTTTCTGAGCACCCAGAACTGTTGCGGCTGTGAAGAAACAACAAAGGAGGGGAGGAGGGAAAAACGGAAAAATAGAAGCCTCGGGCCCGAGAGCCGTGCGGGACGGTCTCGTTGGAAGGGGGGAGTGTGTGGTGGCACGCCACCATTTAACATTCTTTTTTTCCGTTTCTTTGGTTTTTGCTGGTCGCCAATTCTTTCTCTCTCTTTTTTGTTTTCTTTCTTATTCATTATACACACAGTGGGCTACGCGACGTTGCTCTCATTCTGCAGTTCTGTTGGGTTTTTTGATTTGCTAGCTTCTTCCTCTTCTGCGTTGTGCAAAACTCCACTTGCACGTTTCTCTTCTTTATCTGATTTTTGTTTTCTTGGTTTTCTTTTCTCGAAGGATCGCCTCTTTTCCCTCACACGGACATACATTGGTCCATTCATTTCTCTGTGTCGTCTTCGCTGTTGCTATTGAGTTGAACAGTTCCAGGAGGGAATCTTCAGCCTTTTTTTTTTTCATATAATCGCTTTCACCTCGGCTTTTTCTGTGAGCCTGCGAGGGGAATGGAAGGGACGGAAAAAATGAGTTGAATGTGATTGGCAGCGGAGAGATTGGCGGATCTCGGTCATTTAGGGTAATGCTCTAAACTATCTTCTCCTTATCTATTAACTCCTGAATCCTGGTTCTTCCGTATTCTGGTTTGCCTGGCACAGTTGTTTTCAGCATCGAGAGAAACTCCGGTTTTTCGCTGAAAACTCCCTTCTCAGAGTTTTATTCGCAAGTTTTTTACATATTCATCGCCAGTTGTTTCTTATAATCATCGCCAGTTGTTTCATAAGTTTTAAAAAAATATATTTAAAAAAATTAGTAGATCCATGAATATATTAAAACCCTTTTAGGTAGTTTCCCTCAATATGGCGCTTATACTCATCGATCCGTCCAAGTGGAACTTGGTTTGCACGGATTAATATGAGAACCTTCCCGAGCAGGGCGAATGCGAGTTGACTCTGCAGATCGTGGGCCCGAACGGATCGGATTCTCGGCCTGTGACCTTCCGAGTCAGGCGGGAGAATACTTCTCTGATCCTCAGGGATGGATACGAGACGTTCGATTGGCACACGTTCCCCCATCACGTTGAACGTTTCCGCATCGAGACCCGCGACCTCTATGAGAGGTTGATCCAAAAGACGGAGCTGGCGGGGTACTACATGGGGATGGCACAGTCCGCCACGGCTGTGGACACAGTCCCCCTGCAGTCGGACATCTCCCTACTGCGGGAGCAGGCGGCTTCGGAGGTTGCAGGTGCACGCCATGAGGCAGCGATGCACAACCAGTTGATAGCATGACGACGGGGAAGACGGGCCTGGGGCGCCAACACAAAAGTCTCGGTTGACTTTTTTAGACGACGCCGAGTCAGTGGCTGAGTCGCTGAAGGTGGAGTTCGACCCAATGGACGTCTGCACCTGGCGTCCTTGGTTCCGTGGGAAGACTCCCTACGAGATTGAGAAGCAGCTGAAGCACATTTTTCTTCGCGGCGAGGCACCCCGCACTGCGCCAGTGAATGATGCCTTCCAGGCGGTCCTGCGGTGGCTGTTGGCGGCGGAGGCCGACCCGCGGTATTGGGCTGACCACCAGGGCACTGGGCGCAGGATGGGTTTGACGTTGTTTTACAGGGTCAATGGATCCTCGTACAAGATGACGGAGACTGAGTTTCTGCAGGCGTGCGAGGAGAACTCGTACAATTTCGACCCGCTCCTCAAAGTTCTATCGAATGTTTTGGGACGGGTTGGAGGCGGTGCCCCCTCACCTGTCGGCTCTGAGGAGCCAGGTCAACGAAGTGGCGGCAGACATGTACGAGCCGACCACATGGGAGCAGCGCACATCACTGCTCAGAGGCTTTCAGTCGTTTTGCCTCGAAGCCGGACTGCCGCTCAACCTCGACGCGGTGCCGGTTTTCCTGGAGTCGAAGGAGCTCAAGTACTCTACCAAGGTGCAGTACGGCACCACACTGAAGTCCCTGCTCACGAGGGAGATAGCGGTGGTAGACGCGTACCTGGCGGGATGCCGGAAGCGCGAGGCAAAGGAGGAGGTGCGTCAGGCAGCACCGATCACACCAGCGGACATGCGGGCCCTGGTGGAAGGGGCCCCTTCGTGGGCCGACGCCACTGTGATGCAGTTGGCATGGATGACCGCGTCGCGGTGGGGGGAGGTGAAGGATCTCCGAGGGGAGAACCTGCTGCCACAACCGGACGGGTCGGTGATTTTGGACTGGGCAGCCATTCCAAAAACGGCAAAGATCAATCCATACCGCGCACATCGGTATGTGAAGTTGCAGGGTCCCATGGCCCAGGAGCTGCGAAAGTTGAAGGCTCAGGTCGGGGAGAGCGGCAAGCTGACTGGGCTCACGACGACACAAATCGCACAGCGTCTGCGCGAGCGCGGATACTCAGCACACTCCATCAAGCGAGGAGCTCTTCAGTCAGCGGCACAGCTGGCCCAAGAGCACGCACTTCCCCCACGCTCGGTGGTGGCTCTCGCGAAGCACGCAGACCCTCTGGATATACCGACGACGACGGTTCGCTACATGGGCCCAAAAACCACGGAACTCACGAATTCTCACGTGCTGCCGGGTTTACTCGACCGTTTGGTTTTTCGGAAGTGAGTCAGGCACCTTGGATGGAACCAGAGCGGCGCGTTGCTTTTGGAGGGCACACGGTCCTCCGCCGAGCCAACAAAAGTCGTGTTGCGAGTGAGGAGGAGCAACGTTCTCTCCCCCTCCAGAACGTGGACGTGCAGCCGCTGAACGTCGAAATCTTGCGGTCACGCATGAAGGCGTCGGCCAAGGCGCGGTTTGACGAGTTATGGCGTTTACTGTCATCGCCGGAACAGCTCGATCCAGGAACGTCACCGCTCAGGACGATTTTTGAAGGTGATGCCCGAGTCCTCATGTCGGCAGGCGTCTTGGTGCCGGCGTCTCCGAGACCTACGCGGGGTTGGTTCGTTCCTTTCTCGGTTGTGGAGGAGAAACCTTCGGGGCTACGTAGGAGGTTTATCGCGTGGCCGAAAGAGAAGAACCTGGAGGACTCCTACGAGGCTGACGTGCCGTTGGGTCACATTTCCGCATACCTCGACGTTGTGTGGGAGGAAGGCGCATCCAATTTGGACCTGAAAGCCTCGTTTTACCAGGTACCGCTGCCTGAGGAGGCGCGTTCGGCTTTTCGTTGCCGCCTCGACGACGGCACCCTCGTTGAGCTGGCGCGGCTGCCGATGGGGTATGCTGCGAGTCCGGAGCTTATGCAGTTGTTAACGTCGGCGTTGGCAGGAGTACCCACTGTGGTCGATGCCGCCTTCGCCTGCCCAACGGCATTGAAAATCCACGTCTGGATAGACAATGTGAGAATTGCTGGTCCCCTGAAGGCCGTGGAGGCCTGGACGCGGCGTGTGACACAGTTCGCGCGGGACGCCAGCGTCACGATTGGTGAGTCGGAGGTTGCGGTTGCGTCATATACATTCGTCGGGGTGTTTTTTGATCACGCAACTCATACTGTACGTTTAGGTGAAAAGACATGGCGCCATCTGCGGGAGACCCCTCCTTTCGAGGAGATGACGGTGGGTGATTTGGAGGTCTTTACATCCCGCGCCATCTATGGCGCGGCGGTGCTGGGCGTCCGCCTGTTTCGTAACTACATGTTTCTGAAGTTTGTGAGACGCCAGCTGAGCTCCCTCAATAGAGGTAAGATCACCACCAGGAGCAAGATCACCATGACGCCCTACATCCGGGGTTTTCGCGTCTGATTTGTTGGAGGTCTTGCACCGAAACGAGGCGCGTCTCGTGCATCGGCCGGGGGGTGAGCCGACAGCCACATTGGTGACGGATGCTTCGCTCCAGGGTTGGGGGGCGGTTCTTTTTCTGGGCGCCGGTCCAGTATTCATCACGGGGGCTCGGTGGGATTCTTCACCGCGGATGATCATGCAGGCTGAGGCGCGTGCGGTGCACCTGGGGCTGCTGGCTTTTCGAGAGCGCCTACCGAGACGATTGTTTGTATTGATCGACAACACATCAGTTCTGGGGGCGGTGCGACGCGGAATTTCGAAATCGGGAGCGCTTGCGGCCGAGCTACAGCAGGTGGACCAACTTCTCCGCGACGAGGGGATACACGTGGTTTTCCGGTACATTCGGTCTGAGGACAACGTCGCGGATTTTCCCTCACGCGAACGCGACATTCCCACGACGGCTTTGGCGAAGGGGTATAACTTGCGAAGGGGAGACAGGGACCCATGGGATCCTTAAAAAGA